AAAGAATGTATCTAAAGAGTAGAATACACGTACAAAATTTTATTCCAATCGGACCAATACAACACATGTAATTGAACAATTTCTGTTTGCGCAATATCCAAGATGGCGGCCAAATCATGTGACTGATCAAAATTATTTTATTTTTCTCATATGGAGCTATGGCCAGACATATTATTAATGAAAACATCTAGTAGATCGGTTGAAGCAGCTTTAAGAAACAAATGACCAAACTTTCGGTCATTTTTATTTGAAATCCAAGATGGCGGCCAAACTATGTGACTGATCAAAACTATATTATTTGTTTCAAATGGAGCAATGGCCAAACATGATATATACAACATATCTAGTTGATAGGTTGAAGCACATTTGAGAAACAAATGGCCAAACTTTTGGTCATTTTTATTTAAAATCCAAGATGGCGGCCAAACCATGTGACTGATCGAAAATATATTATTTTTTTCAAATGGAGCTATGGCCATACATCTGATATACAACGTATCTAGTTGATCGGTTGAAGCATCTATGAGAAACAAATGTCCAAAATTTTGGTCAAATTTGCCTAAAATTCAAAATGGCGGCCAAACCATGTGACTTATCTGAATTTTTTCTTTGATATTTGAAAGAGGTCGCCATAGAGCTGCAACTTAGCTGATTAGAAAACGATCACATAATTGTGGCTTGATAAAAAAAAAATACTTCCTATCTAGAAGATATCTAAAATGGCGACCAAACCATGTGACCAATCATAACAATTTTTTCAAACCTAAATGTCATTTGTATATTGAAGCTAAATACTATATATGGGAGCATATATGGGTGGTTCTGAAGAAGAAGATTTTCAAGCGTTTTTTCCCGTTTTGGGGAGAAAAAACATGGCGGAAAAAGTTGAGGTTTACGTTTAGAATTTTTTTTCATATATCTATTACACATGAGTTGTACTATATGCCATAAAAAACCCTGATCGCCTAGACCCTCAGAAAGTGGTCAAATACCCACTTCCTGTTTAACTTCAATCCAATATGGCTGCCAAACTAATTGACCAATCAAAATTCTAAAAGCATGTTGCACCAGTTCACATTAGGGAGTATCAGTATAGAGCATTATCAGACCATTCTGTTCAGCGGTTTTCCCAAACGGCTTGACGAAATAAGATACGGAAGAAAGAAGAAAGAAAGAAGGAAAGAAGAAAAAAACGGACAATAAGAATAGGGGCCTAGCCCTTCGGGCTTGGGCCCCTAAAAATTTTGAATGATATGGGTAGGTAAGGTTAACGAAAATACAATTACAATTTAAACTTGGCCAGATGGAAGCTAACTTGAGTCAAGAAATGTAGCAGACACAATGTACTTGAACGATGTAAGAATCTTATAACATTATTATTATATAACATTAGTATTAATAAAAACAGAGAAGCTGCTGCTAAGACAGCATTTAATCTTAATTATACATACATGTATCAGACACATGGCAAGCAATTATATCATGGTTACATAGAGACTTGATTTGTAAGCTCTTCAGAAATGTCATTATCTAAAAACAAACTGTTTTTTAGCATATTAGTCCAATAAATTTTTCCCTCATGCCTATTTATAAATAATAGTATTTTGCAATCAACACGACTGATTGGTCACTTATTTGTTTATGCATCCCACCAATGTACTAGTAGTACATGTGGACTGTTAATTTAATACGTTTAAAATAATGAGATGCATTATACTACTATAGTAGAGACAAAAAAACACGTTTCCAGCTACATGACCAAAGGACATTAGAAACGACTCAAAAGACTAAGCAAATACTCCACTCAAATGTATTACTACACTAAAAAGACCAATGCTAAATATCAAATTACCTGCTCTAACAACTAACGTGTCAATACATTTTTTTAGCATTTTCGAGATTTTGTTAACTTTAAATTTGATATTTTTTTAAGCCTTATTCGCTCCAAAACAAAATATCAGCATTGAATCTCAAAAATTACAACAATTATAACAATATGCCATGGTACTTCTAGAATCAATAATTAAAAAACAATTAAATTACATACCTTTCCATGTTCTTGAAATGTTGCAGCATGCAAAGGTGTCCACAAAGTGCCTTTATTTTGATGATTTATATCAGCTCCTGCATTAAGTAAGGCTTTAAGAACATCATAAAACCCCCAAAATGCAGCTATAAAAAATAGAAGAACAAGTTTAATATTATAATAATAGAAATTGGGCAGATCATGTGTACTTATAAAGTATCATACATGAGTTTGCAAACCAGACAGTTTCCTGATACCACGTAACATTCCTCTTTTTAAACTAGGGGTCTCTTTATGCTTACTCAAGTATAAAGGTAAAAAAGTAGAAAAAATTCTCAAAATGTCAACTGTGAAATTTAGAGATTGTAATCCAATCTTGCAGCAACTCACCGACATACAGCTGACTTTGTAAAACTACATCATCAGATCCAATATCTACTTGTACATTTTCTGATAAAAATTTCTCAACAAGCTGCAAATAAAAGATAAAATACCAGTAAATTAAATTTAGTGTCAATCTAATTTAAGGGATGTGCAAGTGTGAAAGGCAGTCATTTGGTTCTATATCAGGTACCACAACAGTTGAAATTTTACAATCTGCACAAGAATAAATTTCATTAAAAAAAACCATAGTTATGTTAGTCATTTCAGTCACGACCTGTTTCACACGCAAATAAATTAATTGTTTTTTAAGACAAATGCTAATTATTATTCAGTCATTATGATTAGTTTGTACGTACCTGCACTTCTAGTTCATTTGATGAATCAATGTGATTATGTGTGCATTTTAAGATGTTTACTGTAAGTACATACATATATTTGTCTTCATTATTTAAATAATTGTTGCATCAATAATGCATACATTAACATGAACTCTGTTTACAGTGTACATGTGATGTACTGTAATAATGTAATTTCTTATAACATTTTATCACATGTGGAAACCTTGCTCAGATATTTTCCAACATTTTTGAATTTGCACATGCTTTCATATGAGAAATATGAACCAAACATTTAGCAATGCTTACAACAGATTCAAGACACTATTGCTATTATGCAAGTAATACAAAATGTCTAAACTCAGAGAAACAAACTCAAACTTCAGCAAAGTGTTATGCATGATTTTATAGTCAAATATAAATGATCAACTCAGACTTCCTGCTTTTTGATATTGTACAGCACTTAATTATTCCGTGGGCTTTATTTTGCTGTCAGCTAAATTTGCTAGAATTTAAACCTTTCGTTTAATACATCTAATTCTAGATATCAAAAACATTATAATCAACCTATTTGGAAACTTGTTATTTTTTTACCTAATTCTATACCAGAATATCCACAATTTAATTTTTTTTTTAGAGTTAAACTATATTTAATTTGTTTCTTGAATGTTGCTGGTTTTATTCATAATATTCAAATAGCCCCATGCGAAATGCACAAATAAAATTGTTCACAACATGTATGTTGACCAATCATAATAACATTTTCAACATATCGTCATACTGGTATAACCAAGGATTTATTAGATATAATTTTGATATCTATAGCTACATTCACAACACATTATTCAAGACTGTATCAGGATCTACCCACTGAGCTCATGCCAAACATAGCAGATAACATGCAGCTTATGAACATGTCTGATGCTAATTGTTGTCATGCTATTTATTATTAATTTAATCATTGCGCAAAAGAAAAAAAAACAGCACAGAAGAACGCAAAGAATAATTATTTTTCCATGTTGATAAATATGCATGGCTGACAACATTGTGCATTTATTTTGTTTACACTGGGATTAAACACAATTCTAGTCAACAACCTCGAAGAACAAATAATGTAGTGGAAGCATGCATCTGTTTGATTTCATCAACAAAAATGAGTAAGATTTCATGTCGTATTCAAAAACAAAAAAACATATGCAATGGATACTACGTGAATAAACAAGAACACTTTCTAAGACAAACACAGAATAACAGTTCTTTCACTGACTCATTTGCATTTAATAGCATTTCTAGATTGACTGTATTTGCTCTATTAGTAGTGACTGTTGAATTATAGGGGTGTGTCTATTTTAATGAGTCAGTATACATAATAATAATAATAATAATAATAATAATAATAATAATAATAATAATAATAATAATAATAATAATAATAATAATAATAATATAGTATATATGGATTTTACATAAGCAGTATGTATACAGCAAATGATATGTGGGTTATAGATCAAACATAGATTTGTTTACAAACACAGATGTCATGATTCGATTGCCACAATGAATGAAATATGTATATTCAATACAGCAAACGCAATAAAAGTTGATTTTAATATTATCCACCAACTACTGACCGTCCTTCAATCGCCTATAAAGGCCTACTCATAGTCTCCTTGGTCTTCTTGTTTATACATTTTGACGACTCAGAAACGACGAGCTTTGAATGAATCAGCCAACACTAGATAAACCATTCACTTACCCTTTCATCTCCTTTCTGTGCTAATGTCGACAGTTCTGTCAGGTTTATTTTTGCTGTCTGAAGCTGTATTTTCAAATCACGCATGACAGACGGATCTTTCACTACCCGTGTTGGGGACGCCGGTGTTTCTTGACGCTCATTCGCCGCCATTTTGAAATTCCATATCCAACCTCGATATCAAAATACCCCTCCCCCTTTTTTTGATTCAACTTTATTGTTTTTAAAATAATCTGCAACACCCACAAACATAAACAATATAACAGCGTTCATTTTTGATGTGGACATAAAATTATACATTTATTCAAAAACTTGTCTGGTTACATATATTCTTCACCGTGATTTACATGCGATTGAGGGCGCACTACCCTGTATCGTAGTTACCATGGAAGCAAGAAACAATTCCCAGTTCACAAACATTCCCACAACCCTGGCTTGCATGAGAGTACCATTTTCATCAGCCAACGTCCGTTTATCGCCATTCGCATGAAAATTCTTTTGTTTTATGTTTTTTGTAAATTGCATTACCAACACACAATCGGGTTAAGTAGTGTAATAAAGCTATATCATCATATTAATATTGTTACTAACATGAAAAACAATTAAAAATGCATGCTCCAAACAAAACTTTATTATTCTCAAATTATGTATAGAATACAAATCGGAAATTCAATTTCGTACCCTACCTTAAAATTCTGTATTGGCTCCTAGGAATTCTTGAATTGTAGGATAAAAACGTTTTTATTGAATATGCAGCGTGCAAGTGCTTTTATCCACAAACAAATACGATGTTTTAAAAATATACGAAGAAGTCAACAAGCCAGCCAATGTTTCGTTTGCAACGCACCAAGTAACCAATATGAACCGTCTTGATTGCGTCATAAAACTGAAATATCCCAATTTTTTTTTTTTTTTTAGAATTTTTTTTTATTATTATCATTATTAATACAATACTAAAAAAAATCAACAAAAACAGTTGATCGTAATATAAATACAAAAACACAAAAACAAGGTCAAAGTCGCTCATGTTATATATGTATATATTTACAGTATTATAATTTTTCTAATTATTTCATTATATTTTCCCATTTGTTAACAAATATTTCGTGTTTGTTGTATTGTTCTGCGATCGATTTTTCTAGGTTAAAGGTTTGTTTTACTCTTTCAATGAATAAGTTTATGTTTGGTTTAGAATTATTGAACCTCGCAATATATAATTCGTATTTCCCAAGTAGAATTAAGTGCTTCCACAGGGCTTGAAAGTTACTTTTGCCACCAGAATTAAAGATTACC